GAGAGAAACGTCAGGAGAGAATGCCTCTAGAACATGGCCATATAGCCCAAAAAACCTACAACAACCTATCTTCTCCATTGCATGAAGACATGCAAAGACATCTCACTCCACCCATACACGCATACCAATTTCTTCTACAGTCACTTCCAAAATGGTGACATCTTCCATTCCTGTTGGCATTTGAGATGGTCTGCATTCTCCCCAACAGTTAACCTCAAAGTGGCAACACCAAGAGACAAACATTCATTTTTCAAACCATTTAGAGAAGATGTGAAGAGGAAAATGGAAACATTTGGGCTTGGTGTGAGAGTGTGTGTGTGTGTATAGCCTGGTCCGTCACATATCTTATTCCTATTTGAACAACTCAAGCCCTAAAGAAGGAATGCTCTGTACTGAGGTAGCCAATATTTTCCCTACTTTTACCAATCCTTCATTTCCCCTTTTGTGTTCTCTTTTGTTGGGTGATATAGTTGCTTTTCTCTTTGCTGTAGATAAGGTCAAGAGATGTAGGAAAGAAAATAGAAATGGAAAAATAAAACCAGGAAAATTCTTTTATTGCCAGACTTGGGACAAGTTACATTTTTAGATTACACCTCTTCCTATCTTCAGGAAGTTGTAGCCTAAAAAAATAATCTTTTCAAGCTGTTTTGTTAGCAAAACAAAACTGGAGAAATTATGGTAGCAACAGCAACCATTTCTTGTTCAAAGCAAGATAAAAAGACTGAAAGAGCAGACCTAGGCAATAGCATTCATAGCAGCCTAAAGTTATAAACTACGGAAATTTGGAAATTTCTTTCTACATGGCAAAACATCCTCAGTAGGATTTCCTGAAAAGCAGAGGTCACATATATTCCCAGTCATGTCATGCCATGTAATGTCTCACAGTGCATAAGCAAGGAAGTGAATGAGTGGATTTGGTAAGGCACTGAAATTGTGTTCAGCATTCTCCTCATTCACCAACAATTATAATACAAACACATTTCTGGGCATGCAATCTATGTACTTCAAAATATTATTATCCCACTGTTGCTAATGAAGGTCCTAAGGCACAAATTTATTAAATGTATACTTTTCCATGGGGAAATAATTGGGTCAATAATATAAAATGCATTGTCCCATTATTTAATTGCCAGGGCAAGCCATGAATACAACTTCAACAATGTGGTTTAATGAAAAACACTACATCCTGGCCTAATCATATCTACCTTCTGCTATCTAATTAAAGATGCAAAAACCGTTAGAGTTGCAAAATATTGCTCCCAGTTCCAGCGGCTAGCTCCCCCTTTTATTAATATATCCCCATATATATATATATATATATATATATATATATATATGATAAATACTTAATGACAGAAAAATGACAACATTTGCATGTTTGAAAATTACTTTAATAGAGTGATTCTTGACTACAGAAAGTGACCTTTCTCTTACTAAATGGATGGCTAAAAATACTTTAAAAAATTATAGTATGAATGTCTTTCCTCCAATGACAAATTGCTTGTCTGAACCATGTAAAAATTATCAAACAGAAAAGTCTTAAATTCTCATTATACTGTAAATGTATCCTCGACTGCTGCATTTATCAATTTAATAAAAGGAAATTAAGCATATTTTAAAGTATGCAGTTATGAGGCGATTTTTTGAAGCATTCATTTCGACCTGCCTAGTGAGCAGCTTCTATAGCGCTATTTTCTAAGACTTCAACAAGAGCTGTCTGATGAGTGGGGGACAGGGACAGGGACATTCAATAGTGATCTCAATCACTTTGGAAGCTATTTTTTCCATTGTCCTAGAACTTTATTGGAACATACTCTTTGTACAGAGTGAAAGATAGAAATGACCAATGATCAGCTCAATATAAAATAAACCCTGATGTTAACAATTTATTTGGACACAATAAGATTGAAAAACATCATAAACAGATATGCCATTATTTGTACTATTTAATACTAAATAATATCACAGTTAACAGTCAAATGCTGTCAAAGAAACCAAATATCAATGTATTTTAAATTTTGAACACTCAAATGCCCAGACATTGTGAGAATGTATAGAGAATATTTAGCATCCAGCAAATCCTATGGAGACTTTGAAGCACTAATCACTTTGCAAAATACTAAGCGCTGAGTATCTGTTTATTCATTCAATTGACACATTTATCTTTTTAGTTCCCTGCCCAGGGTCAAAACTATCAAGAAAGAAACTGGAAAATAATTAGAACAGTGCCAGATGTTTATAGCAGTGACAAGTGAGGCTATATATTTATACAAACTGCTGATCTCTTTCAGATAAAGCTTTACAGACACAAAGTTCAGACAGATTTTTTTTCTTTTCTTTTTTTCTGCAGTGCTGGCTGATTAAAACAGAGTCCTTCCTTTACTTACTCTGCTGCTCTCTTTAACACACCAATTGAGGAAAACCCATGAACACAGAATTAAATCTTGGGGTGGCTTAAAATCCCCTGGGCTTATCAGAGTGGGTTTTTTAAAAGTAACTTTGAATGATTGTAGATTGACTTCCTTGGGCTACTATATTTTTCAGCTCACATACCTTGGTTTCCAGTAAAATATTCTCCCTGACCAGCAGACATCTGGCCAGTTAAAGAGGTAAATCTGATGGCTCATTTGCAGGTTGGGTTCTCTTGTGAAACATTAAAACAACTCAGGGCTCATCTACACAAGCATGAAAAAGCCCAGACTCACCCTAAGTTGGCTTCTGGCTGTCTTTATAATGTTCCTCTATTTCTGTTGCATATAAAGGGTTATTCTGGGTTAATCCTTAAAAAATGTTATGGCCCTTCCACACAGCCATATAACCCAGCACATCAAGGCAGATAATGCACAATATCTGCTTTGAACTGGGTTATCTGAGTCCACACTGTCATAGATCTTCGGGGGAGGCCCTCCTTTCAACCCTGCCAATCTCACAAGCTTTTCTTGTGGGCACAAGGGAGAGAGCCTTCTCCTCTGTGGCTCTGGAACTCATTACCTGGAGAGATCAGGAAAGCCCCTACACTAGAAACATTTAAAAAGAACCTTAAAACCTGGCTCTTCTGCTGCGCCTTTGGCGAGTAGGTGCACAACATGACACTATTGCTCCTCTCAACACTTCTGCCACTGGAGTACATGCCCCCGCAAAATGGGAAGTTTAGTTTCACAACCCTGTGCATTTTTATGAGCTCCCTGCAAATAACGTGCTCCTATTTTTATCTCATTAGAGTTTTTAAATATTTATCTTGTACATGTGGCCCACCCACTGTTACCCGATTGTGTTATTGTAATGTTATTTTGTTACTGTATTCATTTCTCTTTTTTTACCATGTAATTTTGATGATGCTGCTTGTTGTTTATGTTTTGGTTTAATTTTGCTGTAACATGTTGTTTGGGCTTGGCCCCATCTAAGCCGTTACGAGTCCCCATTGGGGAGATAGTGGTGGGGTATAAATAAAGTTGTTGTTATTGTTATTATTATTATTATTATTATTATTATTATTATTATTATTATTATATAATGCAGTTCAATGTGGATTTCATATAGGTGTGTGGAAGGGGCCTTAAAGGATGCTTTTTGCTTGAAACTCTGGAATATCCCATGGCTTTAGAGCAGTGTTGACAGCTTGTTCCTGTCCACTTTGGACTGATTTGCTGTCTATACGGGAACACTGCTGCCATCAGCACAGGGCAAAGGAGACCGATTGTGACTGTGTTGCCACTTTTAGCTCTCCCAACCAGCCGCATGGATTCAATGTGCGGTCCTGACTCTCATGAGCACCTTATTCTGACATCAACAGAGGCACCCCATGCAATCAGGAAGAAGGGGAGATTAGCTTTTCTCCTTCCTGGCTGCATGGTCACCTCTGTTGATGTCACCAGGAGGTGCCTACGATGAACAAGAATGTACATGTCCTGCAGTCAGCTGGGAATGGCAACATGGAAGGTGAGGTGACAGTCCAGTCCACTGAAGCCAATGTGATCTTGGTCTAGTTGGATCATGTAGACTCTGATCCACCACTGCAATAGGTTTGGCAGGACATGTGTGGATGTCACCAGGCCAATTTTGGGCCATTTTGCTAGGGTTCTAGAATTATTAGTCAGTATAGATTTGCCTTCAGTTAGCAGTGAGGCAAAACACCTTCACCTCTGACATTTTATAGATTAGCCTTGACTTCTTGTGGGCAGCAAAAATCTATGCCCCAATACTAGGCAAGCCCTTTTCAGCTGGGAATGGCAACATGGAAGGTGAGGTGACAGTCCAGTCCACTGAAGCCAATGTGGTCTTGGTCTAGCTGGATCATGTAGACTCTGATCCACCAAGCCCTTTTCTGTTTGTTGTTTGCTCCAAATGTGAAACTTCTCATTTATAAATATGATGTGAAAGGAAGTGAAAAAGATTTCTAAAATTTCTTGACAAGAGCAGCCATCTCAGCACCACAAGACAAACTGCTGAGGAAGTGCCAGCTTCTTCAAGAATTCTCTCCTTGAGAACAAGAGATGGAACACTTTGCTTTTCAGCCAGGTTTCTGTAATGTGCACAAAAATGTCCTATTGCAAATTTTCAGTTTCTGAGCTTTAATAACACAGCAATAAAGTCCTGCACTTCGCCGTCCCCAGAGTTCTGTATTAATAACAAAAATATGAATTGGCAGCTATTTTTATTATAAGTATATAGTTTACCTCATGGCACAACCAAATGTATTAGTATTTTTTTTAAAAAAAAACAGTTTTAAGGCATATCAGATAATTGCGTATATAAAAACTTCAACTCCAATGTCTGAAAAAACATGGAAAATGTTACAGGAATGAAGCAGACTTGCAATTTTTAAGTGCCTGAAGAATATTTCTGACTCCCATACTCTATTTACTTTAATCAGGGATCTAATATTTTAATGTAATGGTAAATAAACTTTCCTACTGGATACATGCATGCTAATAAAGAAATTTACAATTTGTACTCCTGAATGAACATGTTACAATGCCCGTTGGGTGTATTCTACCCACCTTTCGTCTTTCACCATTGATTCCTCTCCATTGTTCAGCTTTTTTCACAATGTAGCTCAGCTCTTGGTTAGAGATTTCCAGATCAAATGGAACAAAGAAAGTGGCTTCATCACTTTGAATCCTTTGGAGCATATCTAATAAGCAGCCTTCTTTGTGTAGCCTAAGAAAGAATGGGAGACACCTTCACTTTTATAAAATCGTATAATTATTAAAACAATGTGCCCCTTTTCTGTCCAGGAAGGACTTTAAAATTGTGCACAATATCATTAAAGCAACTGAGTATTAATATATATTTCTGTCAAAGGGGTACAGGATGTGTAGATGCAATGAATTGGGAATCAAAAAAATATTAATAATTGAATTATTATTATTAATAATAATTGAATTATTAATAATAATTTGATAATTAATGAATTTAAAACTCTTATAGATCTAAACATTACTACAATCAGTGTGAAACTTAACACAGACAAAACATTCAAATCAAACTTTAACAGATGATGCTTTAAATTCACTCTGTTTGTACATGACTCATCTAGCCTGCTGGAAGGAGGGGAAAGTAAAAAATAATTCATGTGCTCATATGATGTTCCTTTGTAGTTTATAAATATTGAAACAACTGGGCATAACCCTCAGCTTTTCTCTCCAAAATTAAAGGCAACCAGTGGTGAGTACTTTGTGGGCTCTGTTGGACTTTATCACACTCCACTCCCCCCAGTGCCATTTTGCCAGCCAGCATGGAGAAACGGCAAGCGCAGCAACACTTCCCCATCACACGGGGAAAGTGTCACCCAACCAGGGCACGGGAGCCTTCCTGTGTTGATGAGGAAGCATCCTAAGATGCTTCCATGCCAGTTGGGGTGGGGCCTCCGCCAGAAGTTGAGGAACGTCATGTCACTGACTGTGTGCCCATTTGTCCCATAACTGCCTAGCAAACATCCTAGAATGCTTAAATTGGTAAGTATGATGACATCCTAATAGTTACAGATTCACAAAATAGTAACATTGTCCAATCCACAGTTCATTAGATAGTCTGCAAGGACATCATGAAGAACCTTGTTCCAAAACCTGACTGAAAACAAGATATACTACATCCACAACACTCTCCGGAACTACCAAGTTGTAATTTAAGAAGTGTGAGAGAGGAAAGATTAGGTAAAGGTAAAGGTTTTCCCCTGACATTAAGTCCAGTCATATCCAACAATGGGGGTTGGTGCTCATCTCCATTTCTAAGCTGAAGAGCTGGCATTTTACACAGACACCTCCAAGGTCATGTGGCCAGCATGACTGCATGGAGTGCCATTACCTTCCCACCGGAGCAGTACCTATTGATCTACTCACATTTGCATGTTTTCAAATTGATAGGTTGGCAGAAGCTGGGGCTGACAGCTGAAGTTCACGTCGTTCCACGGATTCGAACCTGTAACCTTTTGGCCAACAAGGTTAGCAGCTCAGCGGTTTAACCCACTGCACCACTGGAGGCTCTTTCCGGAGGAAATATTAATTTGACATAAATTGTTTATGAAAGATCAGTACTGGTTCTTAGTAAACATTGCATCTTTTCTAAGGGCTTGTCTGCATTAGCCCTATATTCATGTAATGGACCAGAAGCTGCTCCTGGATGTGTTGCAGGGAGTGTAAATTGTAGAAAAACCTATGCCTTTATCTAACATCTTGCAGTTTCTAGAGTAATATTCAGTTACACGTCTATTCATAAGACCTACTAAATTGCATGAGACTTGCCCACATTTTATTCTATACTCTGAGATAAACTAACTCATAAGCAATCTGAAAATCATTATTAGCAGTACAGGTGGGTTGGTTCATGTTATTCGCCATTCAAAATGGGAAGACTGCAAGTACTAAATTAATTTTGGGTATAAAAAGCATTTGAATGAGATACATTCTGAAATGCAAATAGGCAAAAATGTAAACTTTATGATGTATATTTATTGGCACATTAAGTCTAGATATTTCAATGTACCACAAACTGGTTCTGTAGCCACTCCAAAATGAATTTATCAATAGACATTTCAGTGAACAATAAAACAAGAATGCTTTCTCTTTCAAAATGCAGGTATAATTGTATTGTGTTCAATGCTTTCCATTTTTTCCCAAAGAGCAACATGCTTTGGAAACCTTCCATAATGTAACCAGTTTTGTTATGCATGCTTTGCTTTATTATTGTGTTATGAAGAATTTTAAAAGATACATTGGCCAATGAAGCACTTTTCCCCTTTATTGTAAAACATTATGGAAAGATTGATCCAGAAGGGAAAGAATCCTTGATGAACCCACACCTGTTCCCTTGACAATGAAAATGTTCATAATATTCTCATAAAAATCTGCCTTACAAATGTTTTAATTTAAATTAATTTTCCTAAGTAATAAACGACAGCAGCTAAAACTTATAAAGCCATTCAGAACTATTAAGTCACTGATTAAGGAGGCATTAACATCACAAAAACTAATTAACTAGAGTACTAGTACATTGGACTTGTGTACAGCTTCCAGGAATATAGAATATTTGAATTTCCATTGTAGGATTTTAGATTGCACATTTCCCCTAGTTTCATACAGTGGAAAATGAAAACAAATAAATGATTTACCTGCATACAAACAATTCAACTTCAGCAATCTCATCTGTCAGACAGCAAAAATAACATGCTATTGGTAGCTTAGAATATGTGTTTGTGTTACTAGAATTCATTTCAATTCGGTTTGCAAGAGATAAGCTGAAAATTTGTACGCATGGGTTTTTGTAGCAATAGGAGACATTTGTGGCATGCAAATGGTACAGAACAGGATGCTGTAGAAAAAATAAGTCACCATTTTCTATTAAAATGTTACAAGGCAGGAAAGTACAAAAATCCTGGCACATCCTGCTTGATCATTCCCACTTAAATAGAAATACCGGGAAGTACTATTTCATTGTCTGTTTATCCTATCCTTGGTCACCATCTGTAATAGATTATATATTTAATTTTAATTAATTAATTAGAGGTTGCAGAGACCCTGCCACCAATATACAATATTCTGAGGAGTTTTACTATGGATTCAGGCTACCACCAAAGACAAAAGGGGTTTTCAGTTTGTGTTTGACCAGTATATTAAAAGGAAGCTGGATGATGCTGAATTTGAACTCAGAGCGCAGAACACTGAGGTGAATATTATTGAGATTCTTCTAAGTAGTTGCTGCCACTAATCTGGAAACTCTGTTTCCCTAACTGGCTATGGAACTTCTTCACACAGAGGCACACTGATGACAGTTGTTTGTTAACAAAGAACAAAAATGTTTATTTGTGTGGTTTTCAAAAACACCGGCACTTAAGCGTAACGGTTGCAAGAATGAGATGAACTTATTTGGTTACTTTAAAACAGTTCAGTTAACAACTCTTAACTCCCACAGGAAACTAGCAAGACTTCTTCCTGACTAGAATCCTTTTACTTCAAACAGTCCTTTTCCTAGGATCTCTTTATAATCACTATACTACCTATTCTTCCCTAATAGCTCTTGAACTCTCTAACTCATTTGGCTTCACTAACTTCCACTCTCCTTCTCCTAACACTCTCCTAACTGTCTTCTTCAAACGCCAAAACCTAACTAACTGTCAGATTTTGAATAGTACTCCTCAAAGCTATTTTTTCTGCACTTCAACCAAGCTCCGCCCACTTTTTCCCAACCAATCACAAGGGTTCTCCACATTTTCCCCCAGGCTGCTTTTAAGCTCCACCTCCACTAGGAAATGACTAACCTAAGATGGCTGCCTCCAGGCACCACTTCACACAAAATGGCTGCAAAAAATGTGCTAATTCCTGAGCTTTTTCCTGGTCTAAAGGTAGGCAATTCATCACATCATCCTTTCTTTCCTAACTCACTAGAGAAGAAATCATGAAATAGGATTTCTTTTCTGACTTGTAAGGAAAGAACAAATAGAGAGGGGGAAATCCCCATGGACAAATGGCACAATGAACAAAAACCCAATGAAGAAATGGCATAATGAACAAACCAGGGAGAAAAGTTGTTGTTTTGTTTTTGTGTTAGGAGTGATGTGAGAAACTGCAGGTCGCTTCTGTTGTGAGAGAATTGGTAGTTTGCACGGACGTTACCCAGGGGACATCAGGATGTTTTGATGTTTTATCATCCTTATGGGAGGCTTGACAGAGGGAGCTCATCCACACTCTTCCCAGATTCGAACCTCTGACCTGTCAATCTTCAGTCCTGCTGGCACAAGGGTTTAACCCAGTGCGCCACCGAGGGCTCCAGGGAGCAAAGTGGTCCCACTGTTTTCTGCCTGTGCTTATGTGCCCACTACAGCCATTATCAAAGAAGCAACCAATGGTTATTTATCTCTCTGTTTAGAGAATATGTCTCCTAGGATATAATATAGGAGGACAAAACATGGACATTGCTCCCAAAATAAAACTACTTCACTCTCTAAATGATTTCTTTTTCACTTCCGAAATCGCTAGCATTGTTGGCGCTTAGAACTTTAGTTGAACATTTAGAAATACAGTTCAGACATCCAATGAAAAGGGGTAAGGAGAAAACTGTTCATATAAGAGTTTTAGGTTTGAATGATTTTCAATGTTTCACTTTCTTAAATACTAGACATTTGGTTACTGATGGGGAATTTCATTTGGAGACAGAATTCTTGTTTGGAGGGGAGAGCCCTCATTTTGCTATCCCTCCCTACAGTTACACTCTTTCTGCCACCCTTCATAGAGCAATAAAAACCTTGAGAAACTTCAAATGGAACATATCCTTCTATTGCAAATAATTAATTAGAGGTGGGATAATTTTCACCAGAACCACAAAGAGATGTGAATCTTGATTATATACGAACATGATTATCACACAGCTAGTATTAGAAGTTCAAAAAATGCACTTGACAGCACACATACAGATTTCCTTCAGAAGAGGGAAACACAGGCCAGGCAGAAGAATACAGTGGATTAGCATCCTAATAACTTCATTTGATTGCTGTTCATGAACAACTAAGCACCAAATGACTTGCAGTGAGTTTTGGAGTGTAGTCTTTGCTCATTAATCTCACTGATATCACCCCCAGTGCATTAACAACTAGGTTGTGATTGAAGCCTTCAGTATCCAAGTTCCATTAATATTTTAATAAGCACACATTTTCAAACCGTATAAATATACAAATATACAAAATAACATTATGCATACTAAAGCCATGCTTTAAGGAATTTATGAATTCCCATTATCCTTAAGCTAACTATTACTTTCCCTCTCTTTCACTATGTCTTCTAGCACTCATGGAGGACAAAAGGAAGGCTGGACCTCAGCATTGCTGGCACTTAGACGCAGTGTAAGTGATTCTCATTGCACCATTCTTCTAATACTGATCCAAAGTAAATTATTTGTTTTCCCTACCCCAATCTCCTGTTAACATCACAGGATTTAGGGAAGGTGTCACCAAGTTCAGAGTTCTTAGAGTGTCTTCACTCCACAAAATACACAAGGAACTTGGCAGAGATAAGCTGTGGTTTTAACTTTGAATAGGCCTTGAATATATTTGAATGTTTTTTTATCTGTGAATTTTTAATACTATTTATATGAACCCCCAGTGGTGCAGTGAGTTCCCGCTGTTAGCCCCAGATTCTGCCAACCTAGCAGTTCAAAAAAATGCAAACGTGAGTAGGTACCGTTCCGGCGGGAAAGTAACAATGCTCCATGCAGTCATACTAGCCACATGACCTTGGAGATGTCTATGGACAACGCTGGCTCTTTGGCTTAGAAATGGAGATGAGCACCAACCCCCAGAGTTGGACACGAATGGACGTAATGTCAGGGGAAACCTTTACCTTTACCTATATTTAATGCTGTTTTAATGTTTGTATATTTGCTTATTTTTAATTGTGCCCTTATGCTTTTATGTTAAGCTGCTTTGAGTCCCCTTCGGGGGAAATAAAACAGGGAATAATAATAATAATAATAATAATAATAATAATAATAATAGAAATTAGGAAGGAATTCATGGTAGGTTGGTGGGTTGCAAGGAGCAACCTAGCTGCTGCATTGTGGAGATTTGTCATAATGTTATCCTGACTACTGCCCCTTCTACACTACCATATATTTCAGGTTATCAAAGCAGAAAATCCATATTATCTGCTTTGAACTGGATTATATAAGTCTACACTGCCGTACAATCCAGTTCAAAGCAGGTAATGTGGATTTTATATGGCAGTGTAAAAGTGACCTAAGTCATCAGCAAAAGGTATTACCCAAATCGTAGCATGTTATTAGTCACTGCCTACCTGGTTATGTGCTGTTGGCATACTTTTTGCTATTATTGCACTTACAAGTTGACTCTAGTTTATGGTGCCCCAGCATAGGGATTTCTTGGCAGTTAGATGAGGTTTGCCACTGCTTTTCCCTTAAGCTGAAAACGCATAACTTGCTCAAGGTCATGATACAATGGGTTTTGACAGATGAACAGGGATTCTAACTCACATTACGTGGAATTTTAGTCCAGCACTTAAGCCACTCTGTCTCTTGTTTACATAATGCTGATATTATGTACATACGTATAATATATATCTATCTCCTGAAGCAAGCTGGAGAAGTTAGTCTATTGTGAGCGTGCTGTTTTCTAATATCAATGTGACATCATAGAGAAGAGTTGAAATAAAGGAAGATTTTAAAGATTGAAATGATAAAGGGCTTACCTCACAAAATACAGGTACAACAGCATAAATGAGATTATGAAAAGTACTGTGTAAAGCAATATGGTTATTAGTGCACCAGGAAAGCCTGATCCTTCTATACGTAAAAAGAGCCAGTATAGCTTGGTCGAGTCAGCAGTTGGTTTATCTACAGTGTAATGAAGTCTCTGAAATATTTTTTTTATTAAAAACAACATGTTAAGAAAATAGGAACAAAGTGCAGGAGTAATAGATACAGTAATGCTGTAATAATCATAGTATTTCTGATTTCATTGTAATACACCATACATCACATAAGATACAACCAATATACAGAATAGAATTAGTTGTCACTGTCAGCAATATAGGACTGACATTGCCAACCTAATCAGCAATTGTCCTGTTTAGTATGATATTTTGGACTTTAGGAAACATGAGGTTGCCAGTACTGTGATCTCTTTTGTGCAACTGTATTTAATGTACTTAAAGCTCCTTTAATATTCTACCATGTTTCCATAACGGCAATACAGTGGTGGTAGCACAGGATAATCATTAGTTTTAAACACTATGAACAGAGAAACACATGTACGCATTTTAGCCATATCAGGTTACAGTGAGGCACACTGCAATGTCGAAAAAAAAGTTTTTCAGCTATCAACTCATTTCTAGACATTTTTGCTTTAAAATGATACACAATTCCACAGATGTTAACAGACATGCTTAATCTTACCCAGTATTGCATGGAAGCTAATCATTAGGGACAATTTAGCCCAGTGGTCAAAATGTTATATTTATTTCGAAAAGAGTTGTGTTACATCTTACATTGCTAGTTCCCAGGGTATGAGGGACATTATTCATGCTTGTATTGGGCTTAGTGTACTAATTCTGGATTAATTAATTAACATACCAAATGTCCTTTCTCTTTTTTTACCCTTTAGATGAAAACAAATCATGTGCAGTCCTGAATTAGAAAACCTGCCAGGAAAGAGTGTATCAACTTGTAAATAAATCTTTGCATTATTCACATTTCTATGGGGCTTGAATTTAACATGGAAAGTACTATAGACATGTAATGGAACCAGAGCCAACAGTACTACATATTTAATAAGTTTGCAAAAAGAATGGAAGTCCACTTTCTGTATTTTTGTTGTGTGTCTTCGAGTTACTTCTGGTTTATGTAACTTTAAGGCAAACGTATCAAGGGGTTTTCTGGGAATGAAACTGTGTGACTTGCCCAAGGTCATCCAATGGCTTTCTATGGCTGTTTCTAGAATCATAGTCTAACACTCAAACCACTCTACCACACTGGGAAGGAAATTGTTACTAGGAAGATAATATACCAAAAGTATTTCCTATGTTGACAATGTTTGAAAAAATGAAAGCTACTTAGTAATTCTATAGTTTAATTGGAAGAAAATGTATTCTGTTAGGTAAAACATACTCCAGTCTGAAAGTAGCTCCAGTTTTTTTTGAAACATTGTAGTGCCCTAGTCACAGACAATTGACCTCACCACATTACATATGGGATTCACTATGTATTATGACAATTCTGGTGTGGGGCATGGGAAACCCATTGCTCCATGCCCTGCATAACCTGGCTTCTCATTTACCCCATTTCACAACGGAAGCATCTTCTCCTTCTTGTTGGCTATGCAACACAGGAAGCCTCTTGTGTTGCCACAGAGGTGGGATATGATATTCCTACTCTACTGGTACAACGGAGCCCTTCCAAAAGTAGTTTGATGATGTGAGATGGGAGCTGGTGTGCTCTGTGGCGTAAGTAGAGTGGGACCATCATAGAACGGGAAATTTAGCCCATCTGATGAGGTCCCATGAAAAAGGAGGACATTTGGGCATATCCCTCGCTTCACACATACATACAACCTCATCAGACTTGCCCTGGAATCCCCATGCATCATGGCTAATCCAGCGGTGTCCATCGGAGGCATGAGGAACCCATCGTCCCATGCCCTGCATCACCTGACTGGAGCCCCCGGTGGCGCAGTGGATTAAAGCCCTGTGCCGGCAAGACTGAAGACCGACAGGTCGCAGGTTCGAATCCGGGGAGAGGCTGATGAGCTCCCTCTATCAGCTCCAGCTCTTCATGCGGGGACATGAGATAAGCTTCCCACAAGGATGATAAAACATCAAAAATCATCTGGGCGTCCCCTGGGCAACGTCCTTGCAGACAGCCAATTCTCTCACAACAGGATGTTCCTGACACAACAAAAAAATCACCTTACTAACCCATTATCCCATCCCACCGGGGGGGGGGGGGGGTAAACATTGGCTGTCTGGCTTCCCCCATTGATCCAGTGCCACATTGGAGGCCTTCCATGTTGCTGCAGCAAAAGCAGCAGCCAGTTTATCAGTACTTGTGCAATGGAGCCCCACCTAAAGTTGCTTGTGGGATGGGAGCCGGTAGGCACCATTGCAAAAGTAGTGATGTACTGGTGCATACCACCAAAAACTTACTTACTCATATGATGAGGTCACTATGCCATTTCTCTCCCACCCACCCCCCACCATTCCCAGACAGCCTTCGGAATAATGCTACATTGCAGCCTGATTTGGGCATTCAAAATCAGCTAATATGTAAAAACATGTCAAATATGGAACAGATCTACACCCATATCATTCATATATGCAGCATGAACATCTCTAAAAGATAGATGCATATACATATTGCTATGCGCACTATTAGCCTCCAAGACACCCAGAATAATTTATCATTCAGCTTTCATATTGTATGGAAACCAACCTACTTACAGCTATATTTATGGACTTCTTCCTTCTAGAGACACTTGGGCCTCACAAAAAATGTAAATGGCATCGGACATTAAGGCTAAAGAACATGGGTCCTCTTTGCATTCATGTGCCCTGTTAGAACATTTCTTGAATCCTGACATTGGACCTGTGTTGTAGCATTATTTCAGTCCACTTTGAATGAGAAGAATGGAAAATCCTAGTGAAATGGGAACTCAGAAGAACACTAGTCAAAATGCAAAGAAGGAAAACAGTATTACTCAGTGTGACATAACCTCTCCATAACCCCTCCATCCTCACATTTCAGAACTTTCCGTGCAGGATTTTTTTAAAAACCCCAGGAAATATCATGTTTCTGAACCACCAAAACCTCTTGTAGCTTTATCTATAGTCTGCCAAGTTTTGCCATGGCTCCATTCAAAGGGTCTATTTAAAAAAAACTTGGTACCGAATTAATTGTGGCCTATACTTGCAGAATTGCCCTGTACTTTATACCCTCTAACTTCTCACATAGGTCCCCATTCCCCCTGCCCCCCGGTACATTGTCAACTGATTGGTATTTTTGCCCTCTTTAATAAAAAATGAAAATGAGTCAACATGGAGGCCTATTTTCCAAAAGCTATCAATCTGTCAACTTTCATAAGCGCTAAGACCACTTAGAATTTTAAAAGATATTAGACCATTAAAATAACTCATGTCACATTACCACAACATAACATTTTAAAATGCTTGATCTAAAATAAATTGATTGGCAAGTAAATCTGAAATAGCAGTTGAAGGGATGCCAAAGGCGGGAAGCAAAATTGCAAGTACAAATATGGGAAACACATGTAAAGGATTCAGTTTCATTTGGAAATGGGATATGCCCTTTTGCGTGGTATTCATTTAAATGTGTTCCTGGTGCGGGTAATTTTGGTGGAAAATATTGGCCAGTTTTCAGTTCAGAGCAAGAAGCCTTTTACGGAACTTCTCAAATAAAAGTCAAATGGAAGGCAGCCTCAAATGTTCAATTCTCAGGTCTGTGCTGAAATGGAAGATGATTTATCGGTATTCATGTTGTGGTTTTCTTTAACCAGAAGCAGGGGAGCTTGTGTTCTGCTATGTTCTTAAAGCATCTTGTAGTGAAAATAATACCTTTTGGGCAAAGCCAGGTCTATTCCTATCAACTGCAATTTGTAAATATGGGGTCAGCATTTGTTTCAATAAATCTGAAAGTTGTGGGTAAAAACCAGATGTCTCCATCTGTCCCCAAATATAACTCTTAGTGATTCAGGAATCTGGTAGCAAACATAAGACCCAATAGATAGGATTCTGGAATTCTGTCCTGACTGATTTTTAGTTTCAAGTCTTTCTCCTTGAATTTGAAAAGGTCATACTGAGTAGAATGAGAAAGAGCATGATTCTACTTATTCGCTCTCACTAGTTCCCATGCAGCTTCAAAATCCTCTGGAGAAGATTTGTGCATGGCATGAAGAAAATTAGGAGGGAGGTTTAAAAAAGAGAAAGTATTATTGTGGTGCAAGTGAGTTATCAAAGTTGGATTTAGTCATGATTCAACCACAGAGACAAAGCAACAAGGTGAAAGAGTGGGGAGGCCTGAGAAAAAAACTCCCACCTCCTAAATCATAGAGAAAACTTTTTTAAAACTTATGATGGAGCCCCTGAATTTTATACCTTCTTAGTGTTTACAAACAAATGTGAAGTACAGCCTTGCAAGCTGTTTTACTCTAACAGTCATTTTAGTTCCAGCAGTTGCTTTCTGCATGCGGACAAGTGTGTGTGTATGTGATGTAATATCCGAATTAAGTTATCCATATTAATGCCAATGTATGTGTTCTCCAATAAGAGAGAGGAAAGATGGATCTACACTGTGAAATAATGCAGTTTCAGAATGTGTATTAACTGCACTGAACTGGATTATATGGCACTGTAGACTCACATAATTCAGCTCAGTGGAGTTAATCTGCATTCTGAGACTGCATTATATGGCAGTGTAGATCCAGTCAAAAAGAAGATTCACAAAGTATAAAGCTATAAAGTCAGAAACCAGCATTCATGTTCCTAACATTTGAAGCAGTAATGCCGATACAGTTGTAGCAGGAGCCAACATGGTGTAGTGTTTTTGAGAATTGCGCTAGGACATTGGGAGACCAGGATCCAAATAGGTCTACCTGGTCATGGATAGCCATGGTGTGACCTCAGGCAAGCCATATGCAATTACGCAGTCTCAGATGAATGCAAGCAAACATAAATTCTGTCAAGAATCCTTGTGATAGGTTCACCAGAAATTACTTGAAGACACACAGCAACAACAAACAATTATAGTCATGAATGAGATCAAGTCCACAAATTCTACTGACAGTTTCAAGCAGTGACTAACAGCACAATTCAAGCCCTGTTTTTAAGCATTTGATAAATGAAACAATAAATAGAAAAACTAATACAAATGGTGCTATGGATTTTTACTAGTCCAAGCTAAATTCAAAACTATACTGGAGTATTACAATAGCCATCCTAGCCACCCTCAGAGCAAAGCAATGCATTTTTTTTATAGAGGTGCACTTAATGTTGTTAGGTAGAATTCAAATATCAACCCTACATTATCCTTCAGGTGCAACAGAAAACTAGGATGAGACCTGAAACTAATCAGGAAGGAATGCATAACAAACAATAACTTTGGCCAATGGATCTACCAAGTCACAGAATTGCTTCCAGTTGAACCTACTCACTGCTCTGGTAGAGATATATTAAGTTTATTTCAAGCATCAGTATTTTATAGATCTTTAGAGTTATGCAGACTGTGTGTGCATACACGATGATCTCAAAGGAGCTCATCTGACCAGAGCCCCCGGTGGCACAGTGGGTTAAATCCCTGTGCCGGCAGGACTGAAGACCCACAGGTCACAGGTTCGAATCCGGGGAGAGGCGGATGAGCTCCCTGTATCAACTCCAGCTCCTCATGTGGGGGCATGAGAGAAGCCTCCCACAAGATGATTAAAAAAAATCAAATCATCCGGGCGTCCCCTGGGCAACGTCCTTGCAGACGGCCAGAAGCGACTTGCAGTTTCTCAAGTCACTCCTGACACGACAAAAAAAAAAACCTGACAGGTGGAGAGAAAGCAGGGGGAAGTAGAAGAAAGCGGGGGGTGGGGAAAATTACCCTTTCTCAGTTCCCTCCCATCTTTCCCAGTTTTCTGGAATGGCCAGCCATCCCATATGCTTACCTCTCCTTTCCCCATCTTTTCCCCGCTTTCTCCCGCATTCTGCTGCTTGGAGTCAGGTAACGCCCAACTCCTGAAAACAGTCTTTAGACTCAGTTTCCATGCACTTAGGAAACAGAGCACCATGGATTCCCACAGAAAGTGCCCTTACGTTATGCAATGGCATCCCTGGGCCTCCCGTGGGGCTCCATTTCCTAAGTTCCTGGAAACAGAGCCCAAAGACCATCCGATGAGGTTGTGATTGAGGTCTGACCAGCACATTTTAGCCACAGGTATTACCTTGGAGAAGTAAGGCCATTCAATGCAAACGTTCATTTTAACGTTCATTTAAGTTCATTTTTAAAATATCCATTAGAAACTTCAAAGCTGCTGAAATTATTTCACCATCACATTTTATGTGTTCCCATGTTTCTTTAGTGTATACATTATTCATTTCACAGAGGGGATGAAAAGTGGGGTGGGTACATATGTGATTACTAACATATTACTTCTTTATTTATTTTTTAATGTGAATATGCTGTCGCCAGGAGTAGAATGCCATATCTTTTGGTGAGTCATTGAATTAAAAAAAATTCTACATCAAGGGCTCATATCTAAGTTATTTTAAGTGACTTACCCCCAGGGCCGCATCTACTATAAACACTGCCAAAGGGTCGAGCACTGTCCAGAGTCCCCAAGCCATGATCAGTTTTGACAAGAATGACGGAAAAGAGCCAAATGACAGCTGACAGCCCCATCTCATCAGAACCAGAAGAAGCATCACTGCGTTTAAGGTCAAAGGTCCCACCACAATCATGGCCAGTTCTTCATGGGTATGTAGCAAAGAATTCTGATAGCACAAATCCACAGTATAAAGACAGAATTGGAATCTGGAAGTAAGAGAGATCAGTGGAGGATCCAAGAAACAAATAGACAAATCTTTCTTGATTGGTATACACAATTGCTTGTACAATTATTTTGTGCACTTTAGCAAGCAGTCTCTCTAAATTAGAATTGTTGTTCACAAAAACTGAATAGACTTTCAGGCTGATTTTTTTATGCTTCTCATGCAGCACACTCAGAATTTCCTCCTCTGAAGAATCTAGAGGTCATAAGGTGTTACAATCTATTGGTATCAGTGTCTTGTTAAAGAGGAGATGTGTGGAATAATGTTACAGAGCTTCTCCTACAAGCTGTGATCATACCAGAAAGAATGGCAGACAGGTAACTTCTAGTATTTCACAAGGTAAAAGTCAGCATTATGTCAGCACATCTAATACAGTATTTGCCACTTAAAAAAGGTCACATTTCAGAAAAACTGAATAAATGTAAAAAAAACACACAACAAGCACTTGGTTTTAAGCTCTACACACATTGACTAATCTTGTCATCAGTGGTAAAAGAACAAAATCTGGTGTTCATGTCTGAAAATCAGTACGTTGTTTCAATCCTTTCTGAACTCTGACAAAAGCTTAGCACTATTGTTTCACATTGACTTAGTCAATTGGCTTCCAGATGTTATTGGAGTGCAACTCCTAGGAGATCTGACCACCATAGGCAGCAGTGAGGAATTCTGGGAATTGCAAAATAACATTTAGAGCAGGTATTCTAAAGCTTTTTCTACTTGTAACCTCTCTCTGTGCAAGTAATTTTCACATGACCCTAAGTATATAAGAATATAAAACAGGTATCAAACATTTACTGATACCTTACCATGTGCAAGGCTTGCTCAATTAGATGATTTCTCCTTTTTTATGAAATGTAGATGAAACATTTTCTGCAGAGTCTACAGTAAACACTACATGTTGTTGATAAAAGATTTATTGTTGCCAATTTATTTATTTATTTATTTATTTATTTTTGCAACTCGAACACTGAGATAAGGGTACCCTATTTAGGGTTTGGACTCACAGTTTAAGAAGCATAGATCTAGAGGACCAAATAATTCCAGACCTTGGACTTATAACCTCATTGGACAACCACCAAGGTCACTCTGGTTTATAGAGGGGTGTTGGGAATCTAGTACCCCATGTCCAACCTCGCCTGGCTCCACCCCAGGGCAATCAGATGGGGGGGGGAGCATGGTGCATGGAGTTTCCCCCCATGCATTCTATGGTAAGACAGGAACTCTCCCATGGTGCCCTGCCGGCAACATGCATCAGCTCCGCCCTCCTTCACCCATGAAGCTGGCACAACATTATGTGATGAGAGCCAGCTGGCTCTGTAGGTTACCTGGGATAAAATCGGGATATGCCACCAATTTTAGCCCTTTGTGATGAGGTAGTAATAAAGTAGAAATAGGATTGACTGCGTACAGATCTAACATTATTTACATTTTCTGTAAACTATTTTCATGGCTTCCCAAATATTTGCTATTGATCCATACTTACTTTGTGACAGGAATTGCAATAGCTTGAAGGTAGACCCACTGGCTACAATAATGTAGGTACAAGCGAACAAACCAGAGCATAGTCACCAGCAGAATAAGGAACCAGAAATCCCAGGAATACCAGTGTCCCCTTCCAAGTTCTGAAAAGACTGCATATACCCCAAAGTATAAGTGATTGGTGAGGCGGGTGGATGTTCTTAACTCAACAGCAGGATGGCAGCTGTAAGGAGAGAGACAGACAACTATGAAAACAAATGCAATAAATATAATTTAGAGTGGGATCTAATCATAAACTTACACATTAACTGTCAGTGACTTATAGATCAGATCTCAATAGAATCACAATTTTGTATGTTAAACTGTCTGCTTGATTTTATGTAAATAAATGGGAGCAGAGAATATAGTAATTCATGAATAAATTTGTAGAAAGACGAGCAGCAAACAGTTTTTCCACTTACAACCTTAACTCAAATACTCTTAAATCAGGCTGCTCTTAAATCAAGGTTCCACTGTACTTGAAAACAACCTATGGGGAGCATTCTGTAAGAAAATTGATAAATTTAGTTCGCCAGTTCCTTTCAACCAAATTATCTGTTGCCGATTTGGTTGCCACATTTTGGAAATTTTAAATAATTTGTATAATTTAAAGCCCTCGATAATAAGAATAAACATAAATATCAATGTAACTGAACAAATTCCCCATTTTTCAGCTCAGTAGCTCATTTACACTAAAGTTCATTTGAAAGAGCGGTAATTGTAGTGGTGCTATTGTATAAATTTCTGTTCCACAATTAATTCATTACATGTTTAATGGTCCTATAATGCTCACTGGCACATTTTTATATATAAATAGGCCTGAAAGCTCTTTTTAAAAGTGTCTGTTGTAGGAAAGAAAAAAACAGGAAGGAAGTGGCCCAGTGCAGTCGTTTACTGCTCAATGTGGTGTGATTTGCCCTTTCATTAATTACTGTGCTGCTTCAAAGAAACGAAAAAGGCAGACACGCAGATGCAAGCTTGGCATTATGTCTGCAAGAAACTGGAAAATCTTTGCTGATTCAAAGCTGAAAAGACAGTCGCTTCTTTGACCTTTGCAAACTTCTAACTGTTGTGCATATCTCCATTGATTAAAATGACTAAGCAGCTCCGGCTGCCAAGCAGGATGTCAACACACTTGTACCATTATTTTTATATTGGTGCATTACTTTAAACATCCCAGAAACACAAAGGTCTTGCTGTTGGAGCATGGGGAGAAGGCTAGTGGTGGTTGTGATGGCTGTTGTACTTTTTCCTTCAATAAATCACATGAGGACAAGAAACAGAAAAGTTTTCTACTTTTAAATCACAATGTATTTCTCAGAATGTTTTACATCCATGATTCCCTTTACAGATAGAATATATGCTGTCCTTTTGGCTTAGTTCACAAGACAGGGTGCTTCACACATTGTGAAGATAAATGTGATAAATACAAATTTCATAACCTCCAAATGTCTCACTTTGGCAGGGACACTGGTTGTATAGAGCAAGAAGCCACTCATCACTCTTGGATGTCCAAGGGCCTTTGCCTGTAACGTGGTCAAAAACCTGGTTGGCCCAGTTTTACTCCACATTAGGGGAAGTTGGGGAATGCTCCAGAAGTTTCAGCAAAACTCCAGAGCAGCCCTGGAGTCTGGAGTTAGTGTGGACAGCTTCAGTTGTAATTCAGATCAGTCCACTGTCTACCTAGGCTGTGGCTGCTGCCCCCTTTTCCCCTGCATTCTGTGGGGCACAAAGAAGGCAATTAATCTGTGTTTCCATCTGGTCTCCAGAGCAGACAGCCATGGAGGTCCCAAAAAACTCCTGCCAATCCCTGGGTGCCTTTGCTGATGTCAGCAAAAATCTCTGTGTGACCACAAAAAATAAAGGGGGTCACCCCCTTCTTCTTCCTTGTTAGCTAGGTGCCTTTGCCAATATATAAAAAAGTGCCCAGCAATATCCAGGAGCTCTCCAATGCCATTATTGTTTCATTAAAAAATTGATTCTTCCTGGCATGGGAAGACTTCTACAAAGATAACTTTGGAACCAAAACTCTCAGCTTCATAAAATAATAGTATGCCAAGAGCAGACTATGGGACCTTCCAGACAGCCTCATAATCTGGGACCAATAAGTGGGTTAAAAATCACAGGACTTTAAGGAGAGTCCAGACATGGAGCTGTCAGTCCTGGTAAATGCTCCCCTGGTGTCCTGACAAGTTCAATTGTAGCAGAATTTAGAAATCAGCAAGATGAATGTGAGACATCCGCCAGAGGTTTTCTTTTAATTCTTTAAATTAACTCTCTGAGATGCGCTCTCACATTTTCAACCAAAATCAGATTTTGGCACACCTTTTAAACACATTTTTTTGACCATTAATGTTATGCAGTGCGCATTTTCGGCAAATGTCAACTAGGCACCCTCCCCCTTTTAGTCTGGTTACTTCTGCATTTTTGGGCTTGTGTAGAAGGGCCCTACATCAGAAGTTAATACATGAGAATGTATGGTCAAGAGCAACACTTCCAATTGTGTCATCTTCAAGTGATGCATTGTGCTTTTAAATATTCAGTCTCAATGTTGAAAGTGCTCCTGTGCTATGATAGGATTAATTGGATGGTGAGATGAGTTTACAACTAAGTTGATATACCAGTCCTGTCTATTCCTGATATCTCTGATTCAGCCACAGTGCCAACGAAATTAAAGGAATATCCAGGCAGGGTGGACACAAAGATCACACCTCTGCCATCCGATATATCGTAATTACAGGCTGACCCTATGTTGTATATACAAGTGACCGAATGTTCTCGGTAGTATTCGCCGCCACCACCTCAGAATTACTGGCCTGAGGAACCAAAAGGGTGTGAATGTATTTAGGTAAAGGGTGTTTGAGCTCTTGATCTTCTATGGCTTCCTCCCTAGCTGACTGGACTTTAAAATGAGTTGAGAGAATGAGTTCTGAGGGAAACGAATGGATTGAGGCATACACCAGTTAAAAGTAAACTAAGAAAGAGTTTATTTAAACTTGGTATGAACAACAACTCGATGGAAATGAGTGGTACAGAATCTTGATGCAGTTACGTAAACTTGGTTACTTAAAACAAACAGTTCCCCTGACAGAAAAGCTTTAACCACTGTGAGGCTTCTTTAGCAAACTGTTCTATCTTTAGACACAGTTACACTGGAGCACAGATCCCTATCTGTCTCCACCAAGGGTAGTAGGCTCCAGAGACAAATCTTCCTTTTACTGGCTCTCACAGCACAGTAAATTACCAGCCTTTGTCTCAACCTATTTCCCTAAATTAAAGGCTCACTAAAAGCTCTTCTTCTCCTGTCAGATCCCTGCTGTATCTTCCTCTCTAAAAATCCACAACCTTCTCTGTCTCTATCTAAGATCCTTCTCCCCTTTCTGTCAAAACAGGCAGCTTATTTCCCTCTCTCTAAACTGACTCCTCCCCTACTGGCTATACCCAATCAGGAGTCAGCTTGACTCCTCCTCCTGCTCTGCTTGACTACCAAGATGCCAGCCACTGCCATGCAGGCTTCGGCCTATCCGACTGAAAGGTAGATCTATTACACTTCTCACATAGGACACTCTATATGGAGCTGTGTCTGAAAAATGTTTGGAAATTTTAATCAATACAGAGTGCTGCAGCTAAACTGGGAATTGGAAGCATGTGATTCTTTTGTTAATCATATTTACATTGATTGCATTTTATTTTGAGCTTCAGTTCAAAAATGCTAATCAAGGTATTTAAAGTATCAAACAGAGAGAACTAGTTACCTGGAAGACTTCCTTCTCCAGGTACTTAGATATTCTCTGTATCTAGTTAAGAGGCAGGCAACTTTTTATGGGGCCAGAGACCAAAAAAACTTAAAAGAAGCATTGTGGTGTGGTTAAATGTATATCTAATTTAAAACAAGCATTATCCTTACTTTAAATGAACTGCAGGGGTTTTCTTTCCCTCTTTACCACTGACCCCCCCCCCCCCACAGCCAACCATAGGGTACTTTGTAAGGGTTCTCTGGCAGGCCACAAAATGTCTGCAAAGGTCTCACAATTTCTGATGCTGGGAATCCGATATGGATCTATAAATTATCAGGAAAGGTTTTCCTCTGCCTCCTGAATTTTTGTAGAATGTAGTTGTCAGGGACTCAGGACAAGGTCTTTTTAGTGACTGCTCCATGGCTTTGGAAATCTATCTCAAACAGAATATTCTGTTAGCTATCCATTGAGCTGTAAAAGACTTTCTTTTCTACCAGGATTTTCATCTGATGAGTTGACTAATTTTAAACCAGGTCATTATTTTTTAAACAACCTCTACTGTGGTTTTCCCCAGCTTTTATTTTTAATTGGCTGTTGCTTATCTTTGCTATAGCTTTTATAAATGATTTTATTGTGTTCTTATAGTTGTTAGCTGCCTTGGGCACTAAAAACCATAAGGCAGGACAAAAATAAACACATTTATACAAGGTATAAATAAATAAATAGAAACTGGTGGTGCCAAGATTTCAAAGTTATTTCATATGCTTCATGGGCCTGGATGGATTGTGAATTATCTGCCTTGATATTCTGAGTTATATGGCTGTATGGATTGCCCCTAGGATGCCAGGAGACCAGGTCTGAATCCCCATTCAAATGTGGAAACCCACTGGGTGACTGTCTCAGTTTAGAGAAACACAGTGGCAAACGTCTTCTGAATCTTTCCAGGAAAACACTATGATAAGAGTAAACATAACTGGATTGACTTCAAGGTACATTGTAATAAGAACAGAATTTAAATTTAGGGGGGGGGGGGTTGTGTCAGGAGCAACTTGAGAAACTGCAAGTTGCTCCTGGTATGAGAGAATTGGCCATCTGCAAGGATGTTGCCTAGGGGATGCCTGTATGTTTTGATGTTTTACCATCCTTGTGGGAGGCTTCTCTCATGTCCCTACATGAGGATATGGAGCTGACAGAGGGAGCTCATCCATGCTCTCCCCGGATTCAAACCTGGACCTGTCAGTCTTCAGTCCTGCTAGCACAAGGGCTTAGCCCACTGAGCCACCGGGGGCTCCTCAATTTAGAGGTGATATCTCTATTTATTTCCTAGACAGTCTGTTATTAGCTAGGGAAGGCTTCTCATCTATATATTTTGTGTTATATGCCAAATCAGTGGCAGCTGGAACTAAACAGACCTGATGGGCCTAGCTACATAGTAAAAGTCAAACAG